TTTTTTTTTGAAACTGCAAGCATTGTAATCTGTTATGCATGGATGTTATACAAAGAACTAACTACCAAACATAGGAAGATTAAATTTTGAGGATATATACCAAAGAATACCAAAATCGGAGTTGTGCGCTTAAATAACATAGAAAATCAGAAACATGCCTAAACATGAGTAAAATAACATCCTTTTCCCTTTTTTTGTAAAAATTCCGGAAGTAGATTTGGTCGAGAGAATGCGGTATGCAACATCCTCTTCCACAGGTGCCATCCCACATGTCATACGTTAAAAACCATTATAAAAGTCTTTGGCATTGCAGCATGAAGTTAATACAAAGCAGTTGTGTGTGCAGGTTTGAAGGCAGATCTGCAAACATTCTATAACAAATGTTTCAGTCGAGAAACTAGACATTTACAGAGCCCACCGATGACATGAATCACAATTTGCTTTCACTTGTTCTTTTTGAAAAGATAAATAATATGAACCTTGAACTCAAGGATATCACCACCCGCCGGAACCAATATCATCTGAATAAAGGCAGTCTGGTATTGTGAGTTGTAGGTGCTGCAAATCTTAAGCGTGACACCAATGACGGGTGCGCTGCTGGGGTATGGATGAATATTGCCTCAAGACCAATTTGTACTTGAATCCGCTAATTACATTACAAGCTAGTCTATTACCAGTAGTCGCTGCAAGAACAGAAGCCATCCTTAAAATGATGGAATCTATTAGCATCTCTCAAAATGATCTCTCTCCCGGTTACTTTTGCTATTAATTTAATTGCATTGTGGCAATCTCCACAAACACGAAGATTTTTCATGACACGAATAGGCATCTCTTTAGGCACCTTCGACAATCCATAAGCCACAGCCAATTTCTCACTGTGATACCTCAAGCTATACAACTTTTCTTCCTCATCAACATCATGCAGCACAAAACTACCATCAGGACAATACCCAGCTTCTCTCAACAACACACCTAATTTTTCCAACCTCCTCATGATCATTGCATGCTCAGGATGTGACCTGCTATCACCTGTAGTGAACATATGTACTCTTTTCTCTACCTCAATCCAGCTAGAACCAGGTGATTTCTTCATACACCTTGCCCTCATATTTTTTCTCAGCTCTGAAACATCACTCCATTTATGTTGAGATGCATATATATTCGACAACAGGATGTAGGGACCAGCATTTTCAGGCTCAAGCTGTAGAAGCTTCTTTGCTGCAACTTCAGCGAGATCCAACTTTCCATGGGTTCTACAGGCCCCTAATAGAGAACCCCAAACAACAGCATCTGCCTCCACTGGCATTTTTTCAATTAAATTCATTGCCTCATTTACCTTGCCTGCTCGGCCAAGCAAATCCACCACGCAAGCATAATGCTCAGTTTTTGGTTCCACCAGATATTTGGATTTCATCAACTCAAAGATTTCAAGCCCTTCTTTAACCTTCCCAGTGTAACTACAAGCTGTGAGAACTCCAACAAAGGTAATATCATCTGGCATCATTCCAGTAGAAAACATTGATTGGAAAATCCATAAAGCTTCCTCACCTAGACCATGCTGGGCATAACCACTGATCATAGAATTCCACATAACAATATCCTTTGAAGAAAACCTATCAAAAACCAGCTTTGCTTTTACAAGATCACCACACTTAATATACATTGTAATCAAAACAGAGGCAACATATACGTCAACATCAAATTGTGACCTCACCAACTGGGCATGAACCTGCCTACCATGATCCAAACTTGCCAAGCTGGCACAAACAGAAAGAATGCTAATCAGAGATGGAAAATTTGGCCTAATCCCCTCTGTTTGCATTAATATGAACAGATCAAGTGCTTTCAATTCAAATCCTTTCCTCTCGTAAACCTTAATCATTGCACTCCATGTCCCATAATCCTTCACCTTCATTTCATCAAATACCCTCCTTGCTTTTGTCACCTCTCCATTGTGGCCAAACCCAAGAATCAAAGCATTGCATGTGAGAACTGACTTCACCGGCATTGCCTCAAAAAGTTCCCAAGCTGCTTCTAACCTTCCACACTGTGTATAACCCATCAACATAGCTGTCCATGACACCTCATTTTTCTCAGGCATCACTTCAAAAAGCTTCCTAGCAATATCCACACGATTATTCTGTGCATACCCTGTAATCATAGTAGTCCAAGATATAACGTTTCTCCGTGGCATCTCATCAAAAATCTCTCTTGCTTCACTCAAATGTCCTTCTTTACAATACCCCGCTATCATGTTAGTCCTAGCGACCACATCCTTTTCCGGCATCATATCATACAACCTACGCGCCTCATCAATCCGACCCTCTTGAATTAGTCCGCCTAACATCACCGTCCATGAAACCACATTCTTTTCGGGCATCAACCAAAACAATGATTCTGCCTCGCACATCATACCCTCTTGAACATACCCCCGAACCATGGCAGTCCATGAAACTACATTGCGTTCCGGCATTTTATCAAAAACTTTCCTAGCTTCACCAACCATTCCATTTTTCACATACCCAGCAATTAAATTATTCCAAGAAATGGTGTTTTTCTCCGCCATTTTGTTGAACAGAAGCTGAGCTTCATTGGGCTGGTTGTTCTGAAAGTAGCCTGCGATGATTGAGTTCCAAGTATCGATTGTTTTGTTGGGTAATTCATCGAAAACTTTACGGGCACTCTGGATTTGACCCACACGAGCAAATTGGGCAATCCGAGATCTGGGTACCACCGTATAGCTCGTAGAATACGCTCTACATGTGTTTAACAGTAACCGCATAGATGAATAAGAAAGATTTGATCTTTTCTCAAAAGCTGAAATGAAGTTCAAAACTTTTTGGTAGAGACCCAGTGCCGGTAATCATACCACAAGGTGCTACCTTTACGTTAGCAGGATTGATAAAGGAAATTTAGCTTGAGAGAGGAGAGAGAGCTCAGAGCAGGGTACCCAATTCTTGGCTTAAGATGCTATGCAGGAATAACTTTATCCAAGCTGGACTCTGGAGATCGGAAACACGAATGAAGACAGGTTTCCTAGATTCACGCGGCGCGGAAAACCGTTCAACTAGAACTGTCCGTCTTTTGTCCGTATTGAATTACAAAAATAAACCCACTTTTTTTATTAATATTAAATTTATTTTAGTAAACAAACTGGTAATAATAATTTATTGTTGTATTTTTTTTTATTAATTTCTTAACAAAAATTAAATCCCCAATTTTACAAAAAAAAAATTTGAATACTAGCACTAGTTACTAAACTAATAAAACATGTATACAAATTGATTATTATTGCACTATAAAAGAAATAATTTATTTAAAGGCAGAGATTCTTTTAAAGACAAAATCCAAATGAACCCATCAAACTAGTTGAGATTTCTCAAGTAGCCAGAGACGGGGGCATATGCACGTATTACAGTGTTCTTAGACAAAGACATCACTTGCACAAAGATGATCATCCATTTAGAAAGCATTATTACAAGAGAAGGCCAATGAAAAAAACCTTGGAGTTACATGAACTGCCTGCGCAGATATGTTGTCTATGTACGTATGATCAGCTGCGGCAAAAGAAATCGAAGGTGGTGCGTGGTGAAGAATAAGCTGTGGAAAGTACTCTTGATGCTATAATGGAGTTAGCTGCTTCAGTGTAATGGATCCCATCCCAGCTTAGGAACCGAGATCCTTCATTGCAAACCTGGTAGCCAGGCTGACCGCAGGTCACTCTGATGTTGTAATTGTATGGAGGTCCTCCAGAGCCACAACATGCCATCAAGGGACTTGAGAAACCTGCGTTGTAATAAAAGACTGATCAAAATAATGATATCTTTACCACTGCTGCCTGCCTGATGATTCAAAAGAATATCTCATCTTGACTTACCATATTTACTGGAGTTGGCAATGAGGTCATACTTGATGGCATATATGTCTACATAGACTACAGTAGAATCTGCCAGCTCAGACCTCAGCTCTTGGCACAAAAGGCGCAGTGCTTCGTTGAATAATAGTGCCGCAGAATTATAACTGGAAAGACAACCATGTGGATCCAAATCTTTCTTTTGAACTAACCAAAGTTTCTGAGGGAGACAGCCCAATGGTCCTGTGTTGTGTATCCAGAATTTCCTTCCCCCCTGATTATATAATGTCTAAAACCAACAGAAATGGAAAATTATTATCAGAAACAATTAAATAACCTATTCATTTCCATACGGGTAGCAAAGTAAACATGAAAACTACCAAGAGTTAAAAGGTTATTAAACATGAAGACTAAAAAAATCATATGTTCATGCTATCTACTTCCATTCAGACTTCTAAGATTTCATTATATATCATATATTTATATTAAAGGAATAATCATGTCAACAACCAACACAATGGCTAATATATTTTGAATTCGATGGCTCTTTGTAGAGTTTGAAACATTAATGTTAATTGGAAACCGTGTGGAAGCAGCATAATGATAAATTGAGATTCCAAAAGGAGAAGGCAGAATGGTGCTACCTTTCTACATATCTCTTGCCAAGATTACTGAACTCACCTTTACAGCATTCTTTATTTCCGTAATGATGGACGGAATTCTTTTGGTTACTTGCACGTAGGATAAGTTTTTGTCAAACGAGTCAGCAATGTCATTTTGCCCAATATCGATGATGTAAAGTGCATTCCGGAATCCTTCCTCATTGATCAAATTTCTTGAACCTAAAAAAGGCAAGTCCGGTTACTACAATTGGCTCATTAATTAGACAAAAGAGTGCACGCTACATAAAAGTTCTCCCAGTGATTAATTACAGGTATAAATCTACAGTATGTTACCATTACACTCTAGAGACATCTCGAAAACTCTCCTACTATTCATTATGCATACTCATAAAGAACCATATTTCCACCCTTCCAAGTGTAATTTCAGAGGTTAAATTACTAAACCTTGATTTATGATTTGTCATATTATGGAGTGTAAAATCAAGCCAATGAAAAGTAAAAGAAGATGATAAGTTTGCTTTGTAGGGTCATCTCTTTTCTTCTCAATTAATCAACAAAGAACACAGAACTTGCATTTGATAATAACTTACCAAAGAATCCTTCTAATCTAGATAGCTTAGAAATATAAAAGATTAACAAGCATCACCGTGTTACATAACTTAGAGAACAGATGTAAAAAATTCATGTTCGATGCACCAGCAACCATGAAACATCCAATGTACCCAACACATACTGATAAGTGATACCTTATAGGCTAGACTCTAGAGTGAAGAGTTCATGTAACATAGAACAATCCATCCGATAACTTGTTTCATCCGGTTAAATGAATCACTTCACACACACCAGTCAATTTAATGTGTAATATACCATGTATGGACGAGAAAAAACAGTGAACAAGAACATTACCAGCATTGACAAGCTCAAGGGAGCGGGCCTTGAAGTGAAGAAACTGCATGATCTGAATGTTTAAAGAAAAAGGGAGATATTTTGGCAGGGTAGAAGAGCCCACGACTGCAAAGTTTGCACCATTTGCGAACTTGGACCCGCCCAAAGAGTCCAGGTAGGGGCTTAGATAACTTGCATTCAAACTTTGGCCTGCATTCATGTAATCACATTCACATGTAAATCTTGCCATCCACAACCATATAATATGATATCTCCAACCTTGGAAACAAGACAAGATCTCTCTATTATCGTGTCAGAACACCGGATGCTGATGGGGTATTCTATATAATAATATTAAAAAAAATGAGCAACAAAAAGTAGACAAGCGATTAAAAATTGGGTCCCACATTTATTGGATAAATCAAAGGAGGAGCAGACAACGAGGAGAGGAAAGGACTGATTGGTTGGCACCGTCAAGAAATCAGAGCTGGGGTCACTACCAGCTGAACACCGCTTGGCTTTACCTTGCTAATTATGCACCACAATAAGTACACTAAAACTAGATATGATCAGCTGATTTCCCACCGTTGATGAGCATACTCTGTCACTTAAAGCAGGGAAGAGTAAATAAAAAGGTGAGTGCAGAGCCGCAGTACTTACAGAGGAAGTCAATGAGGAGGCGTCCGTCAGACAATCTTCCAGTTGATCTACGGAAAAAGGAACGGCCATTGGGAAGATTGATAGGGAAACCAAGACCAGAAGCAAGTCCACCGGTGTCTGAGTTGGAATCACCGAAGTTGAAGATGATGGGCTGGTTCTTGCATTGGGAAGCAACCGCGTGTGAAAAGGAAGCCAAGAGCAATGTGGAAAACAACAAGGAGAAGCAGAAGAAGAAGATGGGGTGATGGCAAAGTAGTGAAAGAGAAAGTGGAGAAGCCATGATGAGCGTAACAAAGCTAGCTAGAGATGAAAAGGACTTGCCACTGTTGCCTTGTTTACTTTTGCTTTCATCGCCTGGATAGGGTTGGGCTTTTGAGGCCCATATGGGCAAATCTATGGCCCTTTTAGATTGTATTTGGCCTTTTTGGGGTTACTAGTTGGGCCTGTTAGTTTAATTAAAAATAATGTAGATATTAGTCACCAAATCTTGACCCGGCCCGAATTCAATAATATAAATTTTTATATATTTTTTTAGGAAAGAAAAAATTTATTAAACTTTAATCAGACGAGAAAAACAAATCTCCAACATATTATTCGATAATAACTTTCTAGTATCTAACGAAAAGACATAGTCATTATTTATGTGAAAATCTTTATTTACCATACAATTGATTATTATATTATCTTTTTTGAAAATGTATCGCATATTAACTTTTTACTGTTTTTGAAAAAATTAATGAACGGCTTGAATTTAGGTCCGAAGTAGAACAAGGGTGACCCCTAAAAGAAGTAATGGCTTGCATAACTAACTTACTATCAATCTATAAGTCAATTTTTAATTTATAAATTAAAATAAAAAAGTGATACCTACATTAAAAACAATTCATCATCTATAAAGGATTTTACCATGTCTAAGTTGAAGCTCGTGATTGGGTTTATCACATAGTTTGGGGACAGTGATGTTTTATGTGTCTTTGTTTAGTTTACTTGCACAAGTATACAAATCCGTGATGAAATTTCCTAACCTGGGACTTGTTAATAATTGGACAACAACAACAATGAGGTGGTGTTCTAATCTTCTTTTTCTTGAATTATGGTAGCAATTAATTCGTCTTAAAAGAAGAAAGAGAAATGTGATAGCAATTTGTTAACACATGGAATTTCATATATTAATGCTATGCTTATAATGGGTATCCATTTTGGAAAATGATAGGAAAAAACCATTTAATTCAATCATTGATTAATTATAAACCAATCTTCAAGTAATATATATTAATGTAAAATTGATTCATGTTCATTTATTATATATTTTCCATTACAAAATAAAAAAAAATTTATAATATTATTCTTAGCATTAATTGTGAGTATGAGAGGTATCGAAGATTTAATGTGAATTCTCGACGGATTTTTTGACCAAGGTCTCACAATTATACAATTATTGGAAGAGAAACAATAATTGGAACAAATAATTCCCATTCTAATCAATGGTATGGGTATATATATATATATATATATATATATATATATATAATATTTTTTTTTTCAAATTGCACGTATCTTTTTTCTGTATTTGAATCAAGTACGATTTTCTTCTTCTAAAACAATACAATCATTTCGTGTTGTCCATTTCTTTTCTCGAAAACATTAAATGCTTCTCTCTGTGATAATGTTTATCAAATATATATATATATATATACGCACATGAAATATGAATACAACAAATTTTCAGATTATTACAATATTATTAATTATGTTGTTTCAATGATTACTTCAATTATGATCACAAAACTTTAACAATTTTTTCGTTTAATTATAACACAAATCGAATTATATCATGACTGTATAAACATGATAACGGTCTCATTATTTATTGTCAATTGATTTTACTCATAGCCTTTTTAAAACCAACCATTCGGGTTAAGTACGTCACAACGTGGCGGAAATACGAAGAAACTTGGAAAAAAGGGGCAACCACTAAATATAGTGACGATGGAGAGAGATCCCACAATCAAACCCTTTTTCCATTTGTGCAAATAATGATGCTTCTGGTGATATGCTGATGCAAATTTGCACACACATGACAAAGCATGAACAAATTGACAAGCATGTTGATCACCACCTTTTTCTCTTTAGAGAAAAAGAGAGGGAAACCCAATCAGAAGGATCAGCTCTCATGCAAAACCCATCAAAGGAAGAGACACTGATCATTAAATCACGTTGGATTTGTATGGAAGAAAGGAAAGAAAAAGGATGTGGAGTCTGAAGTTTGAAACCCCAAAGATCAGATATGTCTAAAAGGAACATTTATTTTAAGGAGATTGTTGCATTCAAGACTCAAGGTATTGCACGCCCTTTAATTAATGGGACACTGTGATCCACATTTTCAGTACAGTTGGCTTTACCTACTTTAACCTGTTTGAAGATTTAATGGAGTTAGCAGAGACCATTTACTGCAGATCCTTCTTCAAGAAGTTGACTTTGAAGGGGAGTGCTTTTCTCTCCAGGCGTGGGTGGATGCCATGCAGATTGATGAGTTGTAACAACCACAGAGGATTGGACCCCACAAAAGGGATATCAGGGGCAGCGTCCCGGTTTTTGTTGCAGCTGACGGTGCAGGAGGCAATTTTCTTGCTTCAAGTTTCTTTGAACGTAGCCACAGCTGCCAAAGCCTCAAGACAAAAACAAAAACTGAAAGCAACTTTATTTCTCAAAGTCGTGGCAACCATTTGTCCGATGCAGTGCCCAGGTGTTGCAAGAAATCCTCAACGGTTTCTCTTCTTTCATGCAGGAATTTCTTTCGCTTTCTGTTTGAAACTCTTGCGCCCTCTATATATCTACAGGAGGGGCTTCCCATTTCACATTATAATCCATTTCTCAATCCAGCTTTCCAACGTTTTCTTTAACTCTCTAAGGAGCTGTACCTAGTGCTACATCGGGCTCCAGAGGATTAAAGAAACAATGTTGGCTGATTTCATGCCATTCTTGGCCAATGTTCTAGTTCAACTAGGCTATGCAGGCATGAACATCACATCAAAGCTGGCCATGGAATCTGGAATGAAACCGCTTATTCTTGTTGCATACCGGCAAATCTTTGCCACCCTTGCCATCGCCCCTTTTGCCTATTTCTTAGAGCGGTAATGATTTGTTTCATCAAGAACAAGAACCCTTTTTCATGACGTTACCACCTCTTTAATTTGGCCATTTCATTTCTTGTTTTTGAGATTCTCATGATTTCATGTGTTCATGCATAATATATACTTTTATTCTTCACATCAGGATTAGTCAATCTTTCTTTTTTTATTCCTTGAATTTTCTTTTCTTTATGTTAAATAGATTAACCTTTCTTGAAGACTATTTCCTCAATGAAATGGAATGGAACACCAACAAGGGCAGGTATTCGTGTTTGGTTTCTAAGAAACTGCAGGAAAAGAACCAAGGAATAAGACAGGAAAAAAACAAAAGGCTCTATCTATGATGAAGCTGTAGTTTAAGTCACAAAGAGAGAGCACTGTTAATTGCTGAAAGGAGATGTACTTGATTTGCAACTGCCTTGGAAAAAGTTTGTTTAACTCCATGCATGGCTGCCAGGTCATTTTGTCTAACGTTCTAGCAAGTATCTTCAGAAGTAATTTGCATTAATTCAGAGCTTTATGAAAAAAGGTTTACACTGGTTAATAGCAGCAGCTATGCGTGGTTTCCATGTATTTTCACCTCTACATTTTACCTTTTTTCTGCTAATTTCCTGCCTAGTTCCAGGCTGCATGTTAATCTGTCACACTTTTTATGCAGGAAAACAAGACCCAAGATCACTAAGCATATTCTTTTCCAGATTTTCTTGTGTTCACTGACAGGGTAAGTCTTTTGCTCGCATTCTTTTCACTTCAAAAAAAGTTAATACAG